CAAATCACATGTTAATTAATTTTTACATCTATATCCTTATAATATCTTTTAGGAACAAACCTCTCCACGAAGATATCACGTAGAATAGATATGGCATCTTCTATAATTCTTCTTCAATGTGAAATCGATATTATCTAATTCTAATACACAGGGAAATATTTCATAATAAGTTATGATCGTACGATAAGTGTTAAATATTTTATTAACATTTAAAATCGTGATTTTCTCACGGAGCACCAATCAATCCGGGTCGGAACATAGTTTGGTAAACGCTGGATTAGAGAAACAACACGTCTAACATTATATATATATAAACTTTTGTTTGATATCAGTAGTTCTTTAAAGTTTAGAAAGTTTCTCACCTTGAGAAGAAGTAATTAATTGTCCATCAGTTCTGGTTCCAAGGGTGTGTCATTAAAAAGCACGTTTGATGTTCCAAATTAATATTTACCGTTGGCACTTCGTTATCAAGAAACATGCTTCTGGTGTTCAGTCTGTAGAAGAAAGATAGGCTGTAATTAATTTACTGTTGTCTCTAAACCACGATTAGATATTTAAGAGACAAGGAACACTCCCATTTTTCTCATTGATTTCTATAGCAGGAACTTATTGGCAAATAATAAAAAAAAGTATTTTCTTTGTCTTTAAATCTAGTAACTTCTGATTTTCCTATTCATTCATAGATGGCTCTTATATCTAGCCATTAATGTATGCCTTATTTGTTATAATATAGCCAAAGTTACGGATAAATGCCCATTTTGACATGTACTTAAAGCTCTACTGCTTTACAAGAGCTAGTTCTCCAATATAAGATCAGTTGTATTTTGAAATCGCTGGTTCAAGAGTTTCGGAATTTCTCGTATTCCAACACCGCTAGTCCCCCGAGTATAATATTACTGTATTTTAATCAAATCAGTCCGACAGTCTAACAAGTGTTATATTTTGTCTGGAGTTAGACTTGTGTTTTCTGTTTCCCTGATGCAGAGACTTGTAAAGGAACCATTTACATTTTAGTTCAGCTTTATAGGGAACATAAGCAGGACAATGTATTGAAAAAAGTGCATGATTAAACTCAAAACATGTATTATATTAATTCCTTCAAAATATGAATATTGAAAGTTTTGTTTTTATGGTGGGGGGATCCTTGTAATTGTTGCCGTGCGCCCTTGTATCCCCCACTCCCTAGCGCCGGCAGTGTTCTAATATAACTATTCAATGAAACTTTAAGCTGTGGTGGGGGGGACAACTATAAATCGATAGGCCTAGGATATTCCTTCTTTCGTTTCTTTCAGAATTTTAGCATAAAGCTCCATAAACGACTATATGTGCAAAACATTCCCTAATTTTTAAGCTGATAGATTAGAGGGGAGACAAAATAAAAACACCTTCCGCCTACTCTTGGGCTACTTTTGTTTGATCTCAGTATATTTTATTTGTGATAATTAATTAGGCGAAGATAAACGTTTTATAGGACGAGTGAGTTATTATAATTGTGTTGTTGGAATTGGAGTCAGCCCTAAAAAAAAAAAAATCATAGCAGGGCGAAAAATGGTCGTTATTGATTTCTTTAGATATCACCAACAACTTTGCTTTCTAGAATAATTAAAGTGAACAGAATGTCTGGAGTAAAAGAACGGTTATGGTTGCAGCTTACGTCGTGTATTAAATTCAAAAACTTGGCGTGTACCTCCTTGTTTTGGTGATACGTGGATGGTTCTGACAGACTTGAACAAGTGTTTGCTACATTGTCGCTGTGTTTCGAACGAGTGTTAGTACGAGTACTTTTCCGTTTTTATCTAGATCCATAATTGCTTTCTTGCCACGATGCAACTAGGCCGAATAAGTTTTTGTTGTTTCTTCTTATTACTTATGGTCAAAAAGATGATGTACTATTTTTTTTTTTTTTGGCTTGCCATATTGCTTAAGCCTATTAAATAGTTGATAAATATTTCTGTTTCAAACGTTAACGCTCTAATTTCTAAGCATTCGTTAGAAATGTTGCTGATACAGAACACAACAGAAATATATAAATATAATCGTACTGTCTGTTGTCTGTCCGTGTAACTACTACTGAGGGTGTGGATGGATTTTCACCAAAATTGGTATGGAGGTTCATTAGGTCCATGCGGTAGTACATGGGAATTTTCAGTTTTGCCTTTTTTTTTCGGTTTTTATGGTCGTTTTTCTCGCCTCCTGTGGATGGATCTTAACCAAATTTGATATGAAGGTTTATTAGGTCCATAGGGAAATGCATGGAAATTTCCAGTTTTGCGTTTTTATCATTACCACGCCCCCTGTTGATGGATCTTAACCAAATTTGGCATGAAGGTTTATTGGGGGGTCCATGCGGAGATACATACAAGATTGCGGGTTCATATTTTGTGTTTTGCAGTTTTTATGGGCGTTTTTTTTTTACAACTACATATAAGGGAAGCAACTTTTCATGTCCTAAAATAACCTTTCAATAATCATGAATTTACATAACTTCCGTCCAGGGAACGAGTACTCCAGATAGTTATTATTAATATTTTACTGTAAATTCAATGTTGCATAGTAGTGATTTTGCATACAATTAAAATGGCAGATGAAGACAGACTTCCAGTTAAGAAATCAACAATGCTGTACGTTCATTTTTAAAAACATCCAGCCAACAATGTTGTATGACATTTTTAGAAACATCCAGCCAACAATGTTGTACGACATTTTTAGAAAGATCCAGCCAACAATGTTGTACGACATTTTAAGACATATCCAGCCAACAATGTTGTACGACATTTTGAGACACATCCAGCCAACAATGTTGTACGACATTTTAAGGCATATCCAGCCAACAATGTTGTACGACATTTTAAGACATATCCAGCCAACAATGTTGTACGACATTTTGAGACACATCCAGCCAACAATGTTGTACGACATTTTGAGACACATCCAGCCAACAATGTTGTACGACATTTTTAGAAACACCCAGCCAACGATGTTGTACGACATTTTTAGAAACACCCAGCCAACGATGTTGTACGACATTTTTAGAAACACCCAGCCAACGATGTTGTACGACATTTTTAGAAACATCCAGCCAACAATGTTGTACGACATTTTTAGAAACATCCAGCCAACAATGTTGTACGACATTTTTAGAAACATCCAGCCAACAATGTTGTACGACATTTTTAAAAACATCCAGCTAACAATGTTGTACGACATTTTTAGAAACATCCAGCCGATTGATGGTCACGAACACTGTTCACTCTTCAAGTAATGAATTAACTAAAAACTTTGTGTGTGAAACTCGTAGAAAAATGTGTAATTACTGGTAATAAAAGTAATAAAACTGCTCTGGTCACTGTAACACAACTGTAAATACAATGTGATGAATATTGTAAAATCGGAACCCGCTCAAAGGACTTCAGTTACTTCAGATAATGTGACACTATGATTTCACGCTATTTAAGTCCCTCGGTGGGACAGCGGTAAGTCTACAGACTTACAACGTTAAAATCCGGGGTTCGATTCCTCGCGATGGACAAAACAAGTAACCCGATGTGGCTTTGCTCGTAAAAAAAACAACAAATAACTAACAAAACGTGGCACTTAAAAAGTCGACATATCTGTTTATACTCAGAGACTTGAAAGAATTCTACCCACACTGTTTTTTAATTAAGAATCTAATTCTCTAAATGATTTCGGTTGGTTCCCTCACTTAACATTAAAATAATCTTGATTAGTTGCCCACCATATTGTTGAAGCAGCACCTAATTCTTCGTTAAAAGTTGTGATTAAGTGGGATGGACGTCTCGGAAACTATTTGTGTGTCTTCACACGCTACTTAATAATGGTTAGACTGTAACAATGGTGATTAAGTAGGACGGATGTCTCGGAAACTATTTATATGTACATCTTCACACGCTACGTAATAATGGTTAGACTATAACTATGGTGATTAAGTAGGATGGATGTCTCGGAAACTATTTATATGTGTCTTCACACGCTACTTAATAATGGTTAGACTATAACAATGGTGATTAAGTAGGATGGATGTCTCGGAAATTATTTATATGTGTCTTCACACGCTACTTAATAATAGTTAGACTGTAACTATGGTGATTAAGTAGGATGGATGTCTCGGAAACTATTTATATGTTTCTTCACACGCTACTTAATAATGGTTAGACTATAACAATGGTGATTAAGTAGGATGGATGTCTCGGAAACTATTTATATGTTTCTTCACGCGAAACTTAATAATGGTTAGACTGTAACTATGGTGATAATAATATTGCTTTCCTGCCCTCTAGTGACGAAATGAAAATTATATATATATATTTTTTGTTAAAGATTGTAATATGGAGTGAAGTAATGGTTATGTTAGAGATCGATAATATTTCAGAATCCCAATATCTTAATAGCGTTCCAACATGGAGCAGTTTGATCTATGAACAACAACAACAAAAAAAACGTGAATTTCGTTAACTGCTTATTATTATTATTAGTTAACTGCTACTGTTCGTCAAAGGCAAGTCTTCGGACTTATGATCCAGGGTTCGATTCCCTATTATGTACAGATCGCATTTCGTTGGTTTACGCTAAAGAAGAACATCAATAAACCACCTAGACACCTTATATGATAAAAAAGAATAAACACGATTGATTCTATAGGGAGTAAAAGATAACGTTCCACTTATTTGTCTAATTAGGCTTTTATTCAGTTTTTTAATATTTGTAGGAAGGTAAAGAGTTATTCGTAAAAGTTATATGACTAGAAAACACTGTGGTGATAGCGAAAAAATAAAAAAAGAAACTATTTCCTAATGCGTCATTAACACTAGATGGTGCTGAAGGGTCTTTAGACTGTAATTGGATTTCTATTGATTTCTGTTATTCTTTGTGCCTTTGCATGCTTTTCTGCTAGCTTCTAGACTTGTAGCTGTCGTGTGTCTAGTTTATTTTGTATTAGATGCTCATTTTTGTTTTGCTTTTTTTTTTCTTTTGCCTTTTAGTTTCTTTAATGCGCGAGGTGCATGTGGAATTGGAGGCCATCAGACGAGAAGAGAATGCTTTGAAACTTCAGAGCCACCTGCTGGACGGGACTAGAGGAATATGGGAACCACGTGAGTGTTTTTCATTCTGTAACAGTGCTGCCTTGAACGTAACTGTTTTATGTGACTAAAATAGCTGTCTTAGAAGCCTCTTGTTGTTGGTTTTTTTGCACCAACCCTCTGTGAAGTGATTTCATAAAATGATCATAATAAGGCTTAGTTATCTTTCTTTGCTAACAATAGTGAGGAGCGTGTTCAGTAGCATTGAGGCATAAACCTTGGACTTTCCGACTCGTGGCTCAGCATGTTAACCACTAAGCCCAAGTCCGTGAGATATAACCACAAGGGCTTTGTTCTGAATAATAGGATTGACTGTTACTTTTATAACGCACCTGCAACTGCAGAGCGTATTAAGCAGCATCACAGCGTGAGCTTTGGATCTTACTATTGGTAGCTCGGCAAACCACTGTTTACGGTACGTTTACGGACTTACAACACTAAAATCCGGGGTTCGTTTCTCCACGGCGGACACAGCAGATAGCTCAGTGTGGCTTTGCACTGAAACAAATAAACAAGAAACTAACCACTTGTATATTTCTAGCCCGTAATTGATATTTCGTTCAGTACTGGGAAAAATACTGTTGATGTATTAGTAACTTCAAACTGGTATGTCTAAAATCAGAGATGTGTTGGTGGCTTAACCAACTTTAATAAATGTTTGGGTTCAGATTGATAGCATACGAAAAGTAAACACAAAAGGTAATTGGTTGAGTGGGTCGACTGTATAATTAAAAATATTTTCTACTGTCTTCCATATAAGCAGAAAATTTAGCACCGTTTATTATTAGTTGTTTTTGGGGGATGTCCCCCCATAGATTGAGCTGCTTTTAGCAGCTACTTATACTTTCAATGTCTCATTGTAAAATGTGCATGTCTAGTCAAGCACCCCCATGGAGGAATGTCCCCCCATAGATTGAGCTGCTTTTAGCAGCTACTTATACTTTCAATGTCTCATTGTAAAATGTGCATGTCTAGTCAAGCACCCCCCCACTTTGCAACTCCTTCCTACACCATTTTTAAAGTATATAGACAGACATTACATTCCTAGCAATAAAACTTGGCGTCTTATTTTGTACGATAATTATTTGTTTCAATATTGTGTTGTTATTTTAGTATTACTATTGGGGTGTTTCAAAAGTCCCCTTGTCAATTATTGACCCCATTCTTCGTATATTGGACACTTACAAATCTCTCTGTAATGCTTCAACAGAAATTAAGTACTCGTACATTATTTGTTTGTTGTTAAGCACAAAGTTACGCAATGAGCTATCTGTGCTGGGTATCGAAATCCGGGTTTTAGCGTTATAAGCCTTCAGACTTACCGCTGTGCCACTAGGGGGCCACAAAAATAAAATACTTATAAACACAGAAGTGACTCCTAGTTGTTTTTTTTTCTTTTTATCGTAATAAAATCTGTAATGGAATATTTTATTATCTTCCATACGTAGAAATGATGAAAAGCAAGACATTAAATTTGCCACTGATAGTGTTGTTTAGGTTTTCTGTTAAAAACTAAACACCAGTTAGGACTATTTTATCAGTGGAGGTTTTAGAGAATTCCTTAGTATAATATATATATATTATTGTTGTTTTCTTTTGTAAAAGTATGTGTCGTTTTATTGTATTTTTGTATTTAGTAAACTGTAGAAATATTGTATAACTATTGTTATTGTTTACATTTTCCAATATTCGGTATATTGTAGAAGCATTGTTGTGTAATTGTAATTGTCTGTAGAAGCAATGTTGATTGTCATTATATTTTTTTTGTATTTAGTAATCTGTTAAAGTGTTGATTATTTTTTGTATTTATTTTCATGTTCTTATACACTGATTAAAACATATAAGGATAAACACAATTTATAAAATTCTAACTGTAATGCCAATCGCAATCTTCGAACGGGCGTGGCCTAGTAATTAGTAAACCAGAGGACTCGTGGTTCGCGACACGTTGTTGCAAAATCGTTCCCCGCAATTTGGGTCCGTGGGTTCTTTATAACAGTGAGGGTCGAATCCCATAAATCTATTAAAGCAACCCAACGGTATGTGTTGGGTGTCCTTGGCTAGCTGCTTTCACTTTTATATTTCTTCTCAAATTAGAGACAGATCTGAAAAAATATTGTTGATTTATCATATTTGTTGTTATATTTAGTAATCTGAAGAAATATTGTTGATTTATCATATTTGTTGTCATATTTGGTGATCTGAAGAAATATT